GAACATGACACTCGAGGAGCTATTCACTGAAATTCGAAAATTTGAAATTTTCGATAAAGTATCAGGGGAACATGAAGGTCGAGGAGCTATCCAGTTTTTAAATAATATTTCGAATGATTAGTCATTTACAAAAGAAAAAATTGGAATTATTTTGATAAAAAAAAAATGAATGCTGCTAGGATCGAAACCCTAGTCGTCCGCGTGGCAGGCAAGCACGTTACCGATTAAACAACGCGCTCATTATACAAATAAAGTTTCATTAGTAGTATATCTTCAATGCATTGAATAATTTTTTCCACTTGAAATTCCAAAATTATAATAATTTATTACATAATTTATGATATACCGGAAATATTTACTTCCACACACGATTATTATTGCAATTGCAATTATTTATTCTTCATGATTCAGACATTGGAAAAATTTTAACAGAACGATACAATAACGAATATGAAAGCTACTATTTCCCACACCAAAATTCCCAAAATAAGACTAAAAATTCCAATTCCAATTAATTTCAATTTGTTTTATTACATCTCAATAAAAAATACATAATTAAATCTATTTAGTCTTGAACTTCTTCTTAAATTTCTCTCGTCCCCCGAAGCTCTTCCTCTTTCCAGATTGAACCTGAAACAAGTCCTTATCAGGTTCCTCGCCAACCTCCTCCCTGTAGTACTGAGCATCATCTTCAGCTTCCTGAGCTCTCTCCTTATCCAGGTCCACCCTCTCCACATCGCTTCTCCTCTTGGACTTTGCCCTGTGCTCCTCCCTTGCCTTCTCCTTGGCCTGTTTGTTCTCCCTCTGTAGTTTCTTCCTGGCCTCTTTGATCCTCCTCTTCTGTTCGCGAATCTTCTCGATCTTCAGTTTCTCCTCCTCAGTTTTGTGGACGACCTCGTGGAATAGGACAACCCCATCGAGCAGTCCCTCCTCGATCTTCATGAGCTGAAGGGATAACCTGGGACCCAATTCGTACAGCTTGATCGCGCTGTTGTTGTCCTGGAGATTTCCACGTGAGGACAATTTGTGGGGTAGTACTACTGAGTTTGAGGGATCGTCCTCGGCCTCGCTGTCTGATACTGGTGTCTTCGTCAGGAAGTCCTCGTAATTTTGACAGCTGGATAAATTCGGAATCTTCGCCTGGACAAGCTTTTTCACACCTTTGGACAGACCTAGTGGCACTACCTTGATGGCGTAGTGACGGAGGTCTATTGATTTTGTTTCTGCGTTGTAGTTCAGGCAGACGCACCTGCGGATTGTATTGAGGTTCACTGTCCTCAGGTTTATCGTTGGGAACATGTTCTGGAAGGTCGAGGCCATGAGTTTCATGTGCATTCCCTCGCCACTGAAATTATTCAGGACAACCAGGGGCGAGTGCTTGAAGATCTCGTCGAAGACCATCTGCTTTTTGCTCGAAGATATCACGTCTCTGGAGAGGGTGAAATTGTGGATTTTGAAGGTGAGGGTGGGACCTCGGGGCAGTCTTCCGAGTTTCAGGTACATTCCCACGTCTGTTCGACTGAAGATGCACATGTGGCTTACGTGGAGGACCCCTGCTACGGAGACAAAGTCCTTTATCGAATTCTTCTTTCGCTCTTTTAATGCTGATGCTGTAAATGGCTCCATTATTTTTCTGAAGTCCTTTGTCAGCTCGATTATGTGCTCACCAGGTAGTCCTCTGTGGATGACGAATGAGTGAGGGGCTCGGACTATTGTCTCTGGTTCCGCTGAATCCACTTGTTTATTTTTTTTCACACATCGGCCCTGGAGAATTAAAAAATTGTAAAAAAGTGATTCCTGGAGTCTTGGGGTTAACAGAAATTTTCGGGAATCGATAGGAAACTTGTACAGAATTCCCATCATCTCAAGAATTTTGTAGATAAAACATCTGATCTATATTTTTTGGGAGAAAAAAGTTACTTTTTAATAAAATTGAATTCAAATTCAAGAAATTCAATTAATCAATTGTTAATTTCCCTTTTAAACAATGAAGAAAACCTTCAAAAAATCATTAATATCAATTATTGCTAATTAATAATATTGAAATTGATAAATATTAATCCTAAAAAATTCGATTTTAATATTGTGAACGCCTGGATATCAACAAACAACGAAAACTCCATAAAACAATAAAGAAGTAATGAATAATTAAAATAAATTAATAAAACCTCATAATCGAATTAACCATAAATAAAAAATGTCTCACTTTTTTGCTCCTCCCCATAATTGTATAATTAATCAACAAAAGAAAAACTGACAACTCCCAGGATCTCAGATTGTCCCACAACACGTGTGAATCACGTCTTCTAGGTTATGCACCAGATTGTTAATTAACAAAAATGCCAGAAGGGGCGTGTATGTCCCATGTTTTGGTGGATCTGATGCACTTGGAGCACTACGTCAAATAGTGTCTGGGAATAAATCGCAATTGACAAAAGGTACAAAGATTCAGGTTCACCCGAGGGAGTGTCGATTACCTGCAGCATCTCCTGGAGGAAACTCCATCATTTTGATGATTGAGTGGAGTGAACGAAGAGCTGGACGACACCTTAAATAATAAATCACCTCATTCAACAGATTACGATTATCATCATGGCATTGACAAATGTCTTGTTGATAAGCCAAATTGCAGGATACGTTGTTGCCCTCATCCTGTCCCTCTGCATCTTTGTACCGATAAGTCTTCATCAGTACGAGTTCAAGTAATTATTCAATTATTAAGTTTTAAACTCCTTCTCCACGTATTTTTTTTTCTTTTATATATAATTAAATCCACAGATTAATTTCAATTTTCGTAATGGAGGATAACCAAATATTTGAAATTTCCAGGGGTCACTGCCTCCTGTTCTCCACTGGTATCTGGCGTGAAACTGATGGACAATTTGCTGTGCAATGGGCATCGGCAGCTTATTGCCATTACACGTCCTTCGTTGGACTGCAGCTCCTGGTGACATCAATTATTCAAATATACGGATTATCAATGCTGATGTACAAGGACGAAGACAGCTCCTTCCTGTCAGCCTTCATCGACGTCGTCGTCTCGATTGTCACGACCATAATCACCCTGGTGAATGCTATAATTATCACCCTGGGCTTCATGACCTGGTGTGGATGCATGACAAAGCGTTTTCCATCTTGTGAACAGGCAGCTGGCAATGACATCGACAAGGCTGATGGCATTGACACGTCAGGATTTCACATCGAGCTGGGGGTAGCCCAATTCGGCGCCTGGAGCAGTCTCTCTATCTGGGTGGGACTCAGTGTTTTTGCTGTTCTCAAATTGCTGAGGTATCATCAGCTGGAGAACATGAAGGTTTCCATGTACAGGGAGAGGCAGAGGCTCATCGGAGCTAATGACAATTCCACTTCGGTTCAGGAAATCAGTTAAGAATGTCCGGAGGACTCTGAAAATGAGTTTCGGGTTAAGGAATCATTGGAATAATTCTTTTACCTAAATTATTTCAGTAATTAATTAATTAATTATTAACGGATTAATTGATTTAATTATTTGATATGTTGATTTGGTCTAATCAATCGATTTCAGCTGAGTATATGAAATTATTAACCGGTAATTAAATAGGAGTGGCTACTGAAATTAATTAACGCATAGCTGTTAATTTAATTGATTAGCTAATTATTATTAATGGAGTAGTAGTATAATTTTTGAGGAATTCGGGGGTCGAGTTTGCATTGAAAAGAAAAATGTTACGTTTTGAATTTTGTCGCATATTTTTTATTCGTAGGATAAATATTTAGAGGATAGTTTTATCATTATTTTTTTATAAATTTTTCCGACCTCATTACAATTACTCAGGCATTAATCCTCTGCGCTAGTTGCGTTAAAAATTCTTCGAGTTATATTTTCAAAATAATCATATTCTGGATTAAGTATATCCACGCTACAATTTTATAATAATCTATTGAACAAATTATAAAACAGCTGGCAGTATTAACAGCTCCTCTATTTAATAATTATATATACATATCCAATACTATATTTCAATTTTTCTTATTGATTAAGAAGAATTATGAACTGGTGACGAGTGAAAATGGAAATTCACATTGAGAAAAAAATTTTTGTCGTCATCTTCTATTGAAAAAAAAAAGATTTTATTCCAGATGAATCGAGTATTCTAATTTACTATATGAAAAACAAAATTTACAAGTTAATTAATGATTTACGTAATTGATAAATAAATTATATTTCATAAAAATCAAGAATTTCATTAGTAGTCATGGGAATAAGTGAATGATTTAAACTTCATGAAAAGAACCGCCAAAACTTCTGCGCAGCTCTCACCAATGACAGCCTTGACTACCAGATGATTTGACAACAAATCGAGCCAAGAGCCCAAGAGGTCATGTTCCATTGTTTATCACCGATTCCTTCGTTTAATTTATTTGATTTATCGACTGGAGAATGTCTGACACCCAGAGGAATCCCTCCATGGCATCATTGGACCAGAAATCGAACGACAATCCCGAAGATCACGACGACAATCAGACAGACTCTTCCCAGGCATATCAAATTCGTCCTCAGCTCTCCGACAAGTAAGTCAGCCGTAAACTCCTGGTGTAAAAACATCTCCGAAGATTTCCTCAGGATTAATTACTTAGAAGTGGAATTTAAGCTGAAAATCTGTCGCAGGTTCAAGCCCCAGGTGGTGAAGGAAGTGATTCATGACATTCTCCATGATTACCTGGCCACGAAGAGCTACACCGTGGACGAGGTCAACAAGTGGAGCAAGAGCATTGCTGATGCCATCAGGAACAAAGTCAAAGGTGAATTCACTAGCAAAATCATAAACTCACATATTTTCATCTCGTGGAGGCGAGTTTGTGGGCGATATCTAAGAATTCAGGGAACCTACCGAATTTTTTGTAGAATAATTTTTTATAGAAAAAGATGAGAGCTGCAAAAAGGGTATCAATAAAAAAAATCAGTATCTTTTTCCAGTTTCGAGATATTCGATGAAAAGCGGTGATGAAAAAATGTACTTGTCATTTTGCAGTGGAATTTTGCGGAGAATTTATTGTTTTTTTTTTCAGGAAAAATTGATAATGAATAAATGATTGCTTGCAGAATTGAACTATCCACAGTACAGATACGTGGTGAATGTCGTTTTGGGTGAGCACAAGGGTGCAGGTGTGAAAATGGGGACGAGATGTATCTGGGATGCTGAGGCTGATAGTTATGCCCACGAAAGCTTCAAAAATGACACGATGTTCTGTGTTGCCTGTGTCTACGCTGTTTTTTATTACTGAGAAAGTCTGACTTGTCGCAAGACTATTTACCTCTTATGATGAGTGATGAGAGCTCAGCCAATTGTTCAACGACTGAGTGGATTAAAAAAAATTCTCAAACTCCTGGGGATCAAATTCTCCAATTTCTTCACAAACTCAATTCTCTACTTTTCGTACAATTACATTATTTATTTCTTATAAAGTATTTTTTTCGTTGACGTTCATCACTTCTGTATAAAAACGTTCTAGTATTAATTAAAGAAGTAATTACGTGGGCTGCTGAGATAATGAGATTGATTCTTATTTATTGTTATCGATAATTTAAGAGCAATGTACAAAAAAAAATAAGTTGATCTGTTTTTGCATGAATTAAAAATATTCGAAGGACATCTGTTTAAATTTTTTCAAATTTTTTACAAATTGAGTGAAAAATTATTTATTCAATTAGCAAAACGTTGCAATTACATTTATTACATATTCACACCATTTACCCTTCACACTTAAAATTGATTAGAAAAGTTTTAGAAGCAGTTGTTCAATGATACTTTTTACAGAAATGATTATTTTAATCAATTTACAATCACGGTAGTGTAAAAGTAAGAAAAGAGGATTCAGCGAGTCGTCAGGACTTGATATCTGACGTTTTTCCCAGTTCGAAGCTCATGAATTCGTTTGCAGTGCCTCAATACCGTCATGAGATTTAATTTTGATTTATCGAGTTTTGCTTTGATCTCCCGCTGATAATCCTCAGCAGTGAAGAAGTAAATTTTCTCTAGAAATAACGATAAATCCACAATATATTCAATTAATTAAATTATTTACAATTAAAAAATTAATCATCACCCAAAATTGAAATAAAAATACAAAACTATTATAATTTATGGATTACAATTATAATTATTATATTATTATATTATTATATTTTTAACCTTTTCCTGCGCCCTTGACATCGCTCTCCTCTTTCTTAAACTGCAAGTAGAGATCCAACTCGCCCTTCTTCCTGGCGCCAATTTTCCCCAAGTCAAGTAGACTGTACTTGGCCTTCATGACCTGATTAATTATCCCCACGAATGCATTGACAGTGTCCAGGGTCTGCCGGCCAATCATGTACTTCGGGATCTTCTGGAACTCCTCCTGGGTGAGTGGATCGATGCTGTAGGTATCCTCAGCCTCTCTGAAGAGGGCCTTCCTACAGTCCTTTATCTCAGTAATCGCCATGTCATTGGTGATAAGATTTGCCTCAGGCTGTTTCACCTCGGAGGTCTTCTTTAATTTTATTATCGGGGCCTTGCTCTCTTGGGGCTGAGACCTAGCAAAGTGCTCCACCAACCTCGGGGGCACGTTATTGCTCATGTGGATGATCTTCTTGTCGAGCTCCGTGAACAGAGAAATCAGTTCCTGTGGAAGAAATTCTGTTATTATTTCTGGATTTGAATGGATTCTGGGAATTTTCAAATTTTCACTTTGCAGACGATGCTCTGGTTCTTCATTTTCTCCAGGGCTTGCGTCATGCTGAAAAGCCCCTTTTGTATTATTTCGATGTCCTGCTGGGCCTCGAGGAGAGCCTCTCTCAATCCCTCTTTATCTGCAACAATTTATTGTTAATGACAATTAATTATGGAATTGGAAATTTTTCAAGGTTGAATTTGAGATGACATACTCTGGAGGAACACCGTGACCGTCTGCAGCTGCTTCATCACCTGCAATTGCTTCTCCATGACTTCTTCTAAATTTTGAATCGATGCCATGACTCAATCAACTGTAATTAATAAAATTCCTTCAATTCATTCGAATGCACACGCAACAATGAATTTATAATTATAACTGAAATAAAAATCAACATTAAAATTACAACTCAATTAAACAATCATTATTATTTTTCAACAACAAAACTAAATAATTAAAAATTGAATTAAATATCGAGAAATCCCTTAATTACCCATTAATCAACCGACTCAATATTTGAATGAACAACTTGTTTTTCGAGGTTATGCGGTTTTAAAATCGGCAAAAAAAGTCCAAGATGTCTGGAGTAGGGAAAAAATTATTCTGAAATATTGCAAAAGGTAAATCAATTCCTCAAATATATAACAACATATAAAAAATATATGAAAAATATATAAAAATCCAATTAACCTTTCAGCCGTGTAAATATACCGCTTAAATTCAAAACTAAAGAGGATTGACTAAAGTCGAGGCTCAGTTCTGGGGGTTCGAGTGACCCCACCGGCAAGAGAGAGATTTTTTGAGAAGATCATTTTTGAAAATTTCGAATTTTTCGATTCCAGTGAATACCTCCTGAATTGTCATCCTCCCCTGATACTTTTTTAAAAATTTTGAATTTTCAAATGTCCGTGAATACCTCCTCCATTTTCATGGTCCCAAATTTTCAAAAATGTGTCAGAGGGGAGCATGTGGCGCTATCTGTCCCTGGGGTTGGGACTTCTGGAGATGAGATACATCGGGGTGCCTCAAGAAGAAGCGAAGACTCTCTGATTAGTCTATCCTCTGTGTTGCCAACTCAGCCGAGTTTTTTCTCCATCGGCGATTTGTCTGGGGCATGTGTAAATATTGGTACATATTGTTTTACATACGTGTTAATACCTCCGAGGAATTCATCAATTAAAACCACTGAATTAATTGAGAGAATTCGAGTTCCATCGTCTCCTGGGGTAGTTTAAAATGAACTCATTCAAGTGTGGTTTAGTGACGTGTCTGGTGATGATGATCATCGATGTCCAGGGTATCATGTTCTACCTGGAGGCTAACGGGCGAAAATGCCTGAGAGAAGAACTTCAGGCACAGACTTTTCTCAGTGGGGAATATCAGGCGTCAGATGTACCTGGCCAGAGGGTAGATTACGTGGTGAGTTGGTGACGTTTCCTGGGTATTTATGCAGGTTAGGGGGACATCTGGAGACGATGAAATGACACCCTAACAAATCCTAGACGAAAATCTTAAATCTAAATCCTGAGAATTTCATTTTATTCAGTAAAAAAATCGATTTAGAATCAATTCTTACAGCTCTTCCGGAATATCTCCGAATCTAGCGGAAACAGCGAAATCTCCTCAGGAACCTATTTGCAGAGTGGACAGAGACCTACAAAAAAAAAACGGATCAATGAAAATTTTTGTGTCACCACTAGATTCGGAGATATTCCGAAAAAAATGAGCGAGTGAAATAGTCGACTGTTTCTCTTTATCTTTTCTGGGTTGAATTTAATTTATTCATCTGATATTTCGAAATTATTTGCTTGCGTCGAGGTCAGTCTGGGTGATGCCTTCCGCTGGTAATTCTTATCATTATTATTTCTTTTTAATTGGAATGAAATCATTTTTTTCACAGGTTAAAGATTCGAAGGGCAGTATTCTATCACAAAAGGATGATTTTCCACATGGAAAACTCTGGAAATTCTCATTCATCACTGATACCCCCGACTCCTTTGAAATTTGCTTCGTATCGCATGTTCCTCCACGTGAGTAATTAATTCTGGAGTAAAAAATTGATTGCCAAACATTTTTTTATCAATGAAAATATCTCTATGTTCCTGTGATTTCGAGATATCCCGTGAAAACTCGACGCGAAAAAATTCAATTCTTATAATTTATCAATTGTCAACAGATTTAACAAATTGATCGATTAATTTACCACTCGTTTGTTTCTTATTTCTAGATCAACGAGGAATGAAGCAAGAAATCACCCTGAATATGAAGCACGGAGTCGAGGCGAAGAGTTACGAAGCTGTGAGTACAAAATTAATCGTCAAATTTTGCAGTAAAATATTTTCATCCATCAAATATTTGAACTAGTCTCCAATGGTTTAACGTTTTTTTATTTTATCTTTTATGTGAACTTGTTTGGGCGGGACAGATGGTAAATCGAATTTATGAATTAACTTTGATTGTTCCACGTTTTGTTTTACCCCACACATCAAACAGTTTCATTTGACAGCTTCTGTAATTCAATAAATAAACAATTCAACGAGAAAATATCAGTGCATTTGCTTTGAATATCCAGACACTAATTAATTAATTGGATTCACCCTTAGATTAATTCATTAACAGACTTGCTAGATTTTTTACTGATGGATCACGGGGTCGGCAAGTTATTTCATTTTCTCATTACTGACAGGTCGGTGAGGCAGCGAAATTAAAGCCCATCGAAGTGGAATTGAAACGTCTGGAGGATTTATCAGAAACAATTGTTCAGGACTTCGCGAGAATGCGACAGAACGAAGAGCAGATGAGAGATACGAATGGTAAAAAAATATTTCTGACAATTTATCCCCCTAATTATTTCACTTCAAGCAGAACGTAAATAATTCAATAATAATCTGCAGAGAATATTATTTTGGAATTGGGAAAAATCGAAATTTAATTTGTAGTGATGAATAATTGATTTTGTTACAGAGACAACGAACACACGTGTTCTCTATTTTAGTATATTTTCGATGTGCTGTTTACTGGGTCTTGCCACTTGGCAGGTATTCTACCTGAGGAGTTTCTTCAGAGCCAAAAAATTAATCGAGTGAACGAGTCATCTCTTCCAAGTGTACATGTGGGTCTGTGTGTGCCTGTGGTAAAAAAAAAAAGAACATTGATGATCACGAAGTGTACAATAATCCAAAACCTATTTTTGCCAGAGTGAAGACATCGGGTTGTCGAGTTGTACGAACGTTATTTCAATTCCGCTTGAATTTTTCATGTCATCTTTTTTTAATGTGAAATAAAAACAATGAAATTACTATTTAATTGAAATAAATTAATGAGAAATGAGTAATGAAGAGGGAGTGTGACGAGTCGACTGCCCGTTTTTCACGGATATCTCGAGATCTGATGGAGATATTGAAATTTTTATTCCGACCTTTTTTGTGGAGTGAAATGAGAGATACGAAAAATATTTCACGAACATTTCGCTAGCTCTTGTAGATTCCGAGATATTTTGTAAAGAAGTAATCGATTTTTTGTCTTATGTCTCTTCAGTCAGGACCTTCTCCTAGAACTGGTGGAGGGAAATAAAGAGAATTTGAGTATATGAAGAGTAAAATAAGTTTAATAATTAATACGCATGTGGTTTCATCTCATGTTCTAAACGGACATCTCAATCTGTACAATATCTCCCCATAAAGTTACAATTTCATCACCCGAAGAAAATAAATCAATAAATCTCGACGATTAATTCTTTATCTATAAAATCATTCGATTTAAAATGATAATAATCAGGATAATCTGGAGCGTGTAAACTTTAACTCGTCATTATTTTCGGATTGACCACAGGGGATCGAGTTGACTCAGTGGATCCACTGGTTTAACTCTATCAGTCTTATCATCAGTATCAGATGTTTTCGGTTTAATCTGGCTTGCTGTCTCATTACTCTGTCTCGTTATACCACCGACTCCTAAATTATGAAGAAAATCGTCAGACGGATGACAGTGTTTAACATTTTTTCCTTTACCCTTTAAACTGTCAAATCCATCGAACGTCGATCTCGTCGATGATAAAATCCCTCCTGCAGCATAAATATTACGAAATTTTCAATTATAAATAAATCACCACTCAACACTTCAATCCAATTAATCAATAATCATAATTACGAATTAGAAACTCAATGATTAAATAATACCTTTTAAATCCTCTTGAAAAATAAGAATGATTAAACAAAAATAATTGAAAATAATATAAATTATCAAAATGAGAAATTTATTTCAATTATCGTAATTACGAAATGATAAACAACATTATTATTATCATCATCAATAATAGGTATAAAGTATTTAAATCGTGGAAAAATAAATAATTCAATTCTAAAATAATATAAACAATTGAAATTGTTTGAAATTTATTTAAAATTGTAATAAAAAGAACTTACGCTTCATGAGGCTGTCCTGAGCATAATAAAGTACCATGCGATACCCAAAGATCAGTGAATCTCTATGAATGAGGCACTTTCGGTACTTGACGAGTGTTGACAAGACAAGAGGCACATCAACGATACCATGACCAGCTCGTACATGGCAAACAGCAGTGGCAGCGAGTAAAAATAGTCCACTGAGTGATCCCCCAGTGATGCAGTGGACAACGATGGGTTTGGGGCAGTGTCTCAATGCCTGTTCAGACATGATATCAGTGGCAAATGACAGAAAAGTGCCAGGACTGCTTGGAAATCCCCCAGACGGCCACGATGAATACTGCATGTGAACAATGATCTTCTCAGTTCTCTCCCTGGTATTGAAGACAGCGATAACACGCCTGATGTAACTGGAGTGATTCGTCAGGGTTTTAAGTCGAAGCGTGAAGTTGCCGATGGAGAGGGGCTCACTGGGCCAGTAGATCTCCTGGGGTGTCAGCTGATCGTCACTGCAGAGGCAGGCTATTACCTCACTGCCCTGCTCCCAGATCATACCCCAGAATGCCTCGATTGTGCCCTCCAGGGGTGCCTGAGTGACGATAAACATCGGTGTCCACTGGGTGAGATCCTTCACGTGGGAGGCGTTGATGTAGTCCGAGTTACCCTCCCCCAGCTTCACTCTCGTCGAGTCATATGGTATCCACTCGGGGCTCCTGTTCTCACCTGTGTGCATCCCTGCTGCAGTGAATCCCTGCCTCTTTGACTCCCTCTCCTCGAAATCCCTGATCTCCCTCCACTTGTTCTCCAAATTCGTCGAGCCACTCAGGGTCTTCACTGTAAGACTGTCAACGAATTTCTCGTACTTCTCGATTTCAGTTATGAATTTTTGGAGGACCACGGGATCACCTAGGGGATCCTTCTTCGGTTGGACGTCGTTGTACCACGTGTCCCAGACAATCTGCAGATTCTCGTGTTTCTCGTCCTGAAATGGACGTTCCTCTTTATTCACTGAATCGCTCTCCTTCATTTCTTCCTGAATTTTCTCCTCTTTAACATGCTTCGGCATCTCTGATGTCTGAATTTCAGGCACCAGCGGTGCATGATTTATCGTTATATCGAGCTCTGCGAGAAGATCCAGATTCGATTTTTCAGGGACTGGTTGAGAATACCCATGGGATCTCTTTGTTCCTTCCTTCTGCGTGAGTGCCTGATCTGGTATTGGACTCGATGGTGTTTGATTGCTCACCTGATCAATCACCTCGTCGTGTGCCTGATTATGCGAGCCCTGATCAGGCGTATATCCATATAACGCCTGATTAATATGCGGTGTTCCCTGATTACTCACTCCTGCTGGTTGATTGTAATTATGAGGTACCTGATTACTCCCCTGAACTTTCTGCGACTGATAATAATCCTTATCCTCACCATTCTGCTGATTAATTCCGCCATTCGAGTATGGCGATGAAGTTAAATGAGTGATGGCTGCATTATTAGCACTCGTGTAATGCGAATTAACCTGATTATTTGAGCCATCTGCTAGCGTAATCTGCACCTGCGGCGCCTGAATCTGCTGTGAATAACCTGAACTGTACTGATAAATACCAGATGTAGAGTCGTACGAGTATCCAGGATGTCCCTGATAAGAATCCGTGTGCCCTTGCCATCCACCCCCTGAATTATATGCCTGCGAGTAATTCGGGTACATCTGCACTGAACCCTGATGCCCCTGAATCGAGTAACTCTGGTAATTTTGTGTGGGTGCATATGCACCCGTTGATTTGGCGTGACTTTGAATAATAGTATCAGATGGCTTCGAGTAGTTGGCCGTGATGTTTGTCGTGGTAACCTGATTGTAGCCCTGAACGTACCCTGAGTAATTCGAGGGCTGAGTCGCCTGGGGCGTTTGACCGACTGCTGACACCATCTGTTTGTAGTATCCCATCTGATCACCTACCATTCCTGAATTTCCATAGTGAGCTGAACTCCCTGAAATTCCGGGAACAGCAACAGTCCCGTATCCCTGACCCCCGTAATCCCTCGGTGAATTCACCTGTGGATAGACATAGCCCTCTCTGTTGTCGGGTACTGTAGGGTGTACCTGTGCCTGAGGAATAACAGGTGTCGGCTGAACGTGAGCCTGAGGTGTCGCAGGGATTGGCTGAACCTGTGCCTGAGGGGTCACAGCCACCTCAGGCCTGGTTGGTCCAGGTGGTACATGACCAGGCGACTGATTGACAATTGTCAGGGATTTCTGATCACCTGTTTGCATTCCGGCACCTGCTGCCTGATAATAACCCTGATAATCCTGAGCTTTCCCAGCAGAATAATCAGGGTATGGATAATTCGAATTGGGCACAGGCTGGTGAGATCCAGGCGGATATCCTGGTGCTTGAGATGCCTGATAATCTCCCTCACCCTTGAAATTAGCATAGCCTGCGTACAGGGCGCTGTCACTAGCCACTTCAGTAGGAGTTGTACCTGCCTGATGGTACATGTTATCAGAATTTGTTGTTATCGATCTGGGTAGGCCCTGACTTGAGTCGAAACCCGAGGAATACGAATAGGTATTTACCTGAGGATTAACCTGAGGGCTCACCTGATTAATCTGATAATAACCCTGATTGGAATAATGAAATCCCTGATAGCCCTGATATCCCTGCTCCTGATACTTAACATCAGAATTGGTAGGAGGATTAGGCACAGGTGTGCCTGAAGATAACGTATGAGTATTAGGCTGAACTGAAACAACAGGAATTTGCTGTTTTCCCTCGAACTGATAATAATTAGAAGTCATGGGATTTGTCTTCATGCGATTCATTAGGTGATCACGCAGTTTCATTCCTGATCCCGAGGCCTTTTTATCCCCAGGACTAATTGAATTTTCATCTGTATAAACCTGTGGCTTCTCATTCCTCGCCATAATCTGCTCTCGCTCCTCCTCCTGGACTCGACACGTGCTCTTCACCCTCTGGAGGAGTTTTGTTACATTGACCTCGAGCTTTCTGTAGAATTCCAGGCCCTTGGAGGATTTGGACATGAGATCCTCGTAGGCGTCGTATGAGGTAATCAGGGATGATATCGTCATGTCTCGACGTTTCAGAATTTCATCCACTGATTTTCTTGTTTCAGCTGTCCTGGCGTAGGCGTCAGTCAGGGCTGTTAGGATATTGTCCTGGGCTGCTAGATTCTTCTCGATGAGATCAACCAGTGACTGATGTTTCTCGAGTTGCTCGGAGAAGAGGGCATCGAGGGGAACAGACTCAGCAGTAGCTGTTACCAGTAGTCTCGTGAGATTGTCCTGGGATATTGACTCCCTCAGTTTAGCATGTAGATCACTCCTCTGCCTCTGCATCTCCTCGACCTTGGCCAGAATTCTCTTCAGCTCTCGTACATTACCCCTGTCGCTCTCGCTCCCTGACGCCGAATCCCTCTCTTGTTTTACAGTGGGAATGCTCGATGAGAGATCACTCAGGGGCTGGCACAGGGCCTGTAGATTATTCAGGTGAAGTGCCATCGCCCTGTGGAGAGCCTGATTGCTCTCAGATGCCTTGGTGTGTGCCTCCTCGTACTTCTTGGCTTCCCTCGTGAGATCTGTGGCGACGATTGAGGGGGGCCTCTTACCCATTGCCTCCTGGTACTGTCTCTCCTTCATCTCCTCCTCCCTCAAAATCTTGCCGATCTCCTTCAGCATCGTCTCGACGTCTCCATACGTTATCGATAATTTACTCATCATATCCTCCAGATCTCGGATGGCATCTGGTTTTGCATTGAGGGCTGCACATCGTTCCACCAGCTCCTCAGGCAGTTCTAGGATCTCATCAGAGCTATTCTGGACATCAGGATCCCACAGGCTCAAGTGCTGAAGCTTCAGGCTCGACAGGTACGTCTCCAGAATTTGATCTTTCTCCTCGATCTTTCCACCCACTGAGCGCAAAATTTTTGCCTTCTCCTCGGAGTACAGGGAACTCGCCTCGTGCACCTGCATTGGCACCAGACGGGCGAAGATGTCTGGCCCTGAGATCTCCGGGTCGTTGACATTGAAGGACATACCCTTCACCAGTGATGCACCATTGACGGACGGCAGTAAATCCTTCTCTGGGATCTCCTCATGGTAGATGAACTCGTTCTCGTTTTTTGCTGCCTTTCTTTTGCCCTCGATCACGTCGTTTGTGAACACCAGTGCCTCCTCGATTGCATCCTTCTCTGTGGGAATACCTGTGATACCTCCAGCACCTTTGGCTGATGTGTGCAATCCTCTGGATGTATTGAGAGCAGTGAGAGCTGCGTTGTAGAATGCCACACGTTCCCCCATTTTCTGCTGCTCCTCAGCAGCCAAACCCTGATATAAATAAGTAACAGACATGTGGTAGGAGCGTTTGAATTTAACGTAGTTCTTCCAGGATTTGTATATCTTCGATCCCACGGTTTCACCGATGGGACTCTCGTCGTTGTTGGTGGGCTCCAGGGTGCGGAGGGCTACGTTATAATAATCCACAATCTGCTTTGCCACTTTGGCTACTATCGTGGGTTTTCTGTTGTCCAGCATGCTCTTCTCCAGGATGCACTCCTGGGCCTGGGCTAGCGACAACTGGTGCATGAATCTCATAAGGTCTGAGCTCATGTCAACACCTGGTAGCTGTGAGTTGCTCTGGAGATGTTCGAATGCCCAGGCTGCGCACTGAAAGTGAGAGCACGCCATTTTCATACCGTCTGCTGATGTTCTCTCGGTTTTACTCCCCAATTGGCTGTGAATTGCACCGATATTGTACAGAATTGATATAAACTCGAAACGGATGTTGGGGAGGGTGAATACGAAGTTTGTGTAGGGATCCTTCCAGGAGAAGGGCACGGCTGCTACCTCGTCCTGACCCATTGGAAATCGAGACTGAACGAAGTGCAATTGGCAGTAGTATTTTTTCAAGACTGAACTCCCGGTCACTGCTATTGGCGGACGCACTGCCATTCCACGGAGATGTTCCAGCTGGTGAATCTCCTGGGAGTAGGACTCTGGGTCCTCGTTGTAGAAGTCTCGGATGTACTGGAGAAAGAAAAAATGGAGAGAAAATTATTTTAACAATTTTCAGAGGAAATGTTTTTCATGTGTAAATGACGCAGTAAATGAACAAGAACCAGATAATAAAATAATTAATCTTCGACGAAGAATTGCAATTTTCTAATAAATTACTCGAATGACAGAAGGGAAAAAAGAAGAAAAATCCGACGTAAACGAATGGAGAATGAAATCATGAGATTTTCGACAGCCCCTCGAAATCATGAGTTCATAAAAAAAATTCTCCCAAGAAAAACGTGTAATTTGGACATTTGCAAATTAAATTAAACAGATCAATAAAAAAAAATCCCCAATTACCTGTTTGAGTTTAACGAAAGTCGTGGCCTCAGGACTCACTCGGAGTTGAAATGACAACATGGGTAACCTCGGTACAGCCTCCATAATTACCGTATTCACCTTTTTAATGAAAAAAAAAAAAATTAAATCCTCTCTCAATACAACTCGTCACTCAATCCTCTTTGCTCCCCCGAATTCCGTGATAACAGCACAGAGTGACAATTGTTATAGCAATTTCACCACTGACATTTCTTCCCTCAAACAACTGCCACACAATAACGATAAATCGATTGTCCAGGGATCAATGGATCGAGTGTTCAATTACTCCAGAATTTTCGAGATGTGATTCTAATGTACAAATTGCAGTGGAACTGCCGAAATTCATCATTCTGCTTCGTTGCAATTGTCTGAAATCATCGGAGAATTGCTCCGAGGAATTTAATCAGTTCAGCCAATACTTTGACCGGAAAAAATTGAAAAATACCCTAGGGATGTCTAATTATACTTCTTGTTTGAAATTATCGAATAAACGGAATTAATTCAACTTTTTTAATTAATTTTTGGTAATTAGTATTCAGTAATCGGTCAAGCTCCAGTCCCTCCTGGCCCTCGTCTCCGAGGATTTTGAATTCTGGAGAATCGCGAGGGGTGTCTGGGGTTTTTTTCCGTCAATCTTCAGCTGTCAACTTCAGATTGAAGTCCGAAATACCAGAGGGAAGCAACACATCGTAAAAAAAAAAGAGTTGAATTCCTCGACTGCTGCATTTTCCTCGATCTTTCCACGAAGTGACACCCCCCAATTTGTTGTTTACTGTTTTTTGAATAATTTTTTTGCATCTTCCAATTGTTTTGGTCAGCATTTCTGCCTGTCTAACCCTCAAAACATCTTCAATACTTCACGGGTGAGTGCAGCTGGTTGTCAGGTAAAACTTTTGGAGGAAATTCCAATTATTTTTTGGTTGAACTAATTGTAAATAGCAAATATTCAATTGATTCTACTAAAAAAAATCATTCAAAATATTTCCAATATTTCATTTCATTCATTCATCCATTCAATTCGTTTTCATTTTCATTTAATTAAATTCGTTCGATTAATGATATTTCCTTTTTAAAAAAAAATTAATTTTCGATGAATAATTTAGAATAAATTCGCTGAATAATGAAATAATGATAAATGGTGTTCTAGATCTGTAATGATGTCAGTGGTTGGTGCACTGATCGGAGGATGTAGCAGTTAACGACTGGATAATTGAGATAAGGCCCCCACCCTCGAGCCAATGGATCCAGAGATATTGCACCCCAGAGCAATGAAGAGATCGCGAGTGCAGTGTAAACTGCGTGAGGATGACACCCTAAACCTGGAGGAGACCCTGCTGTCGTTCAACGGTCCGATCGGCCAGGAGCAGGCGTGGGCAGTCTGTCATCAAACAGCGAAATTTCTGTCCCAACTGCCCTCCGCTCGTCTCCAGGAGCTCCACAGTCTCAGTCAAATTCTCCTCCACAAAGATGGCCACGTACTCCTCGATCTGCCTGGGGTGGAGTACGTGTCCGAGAAGAAGGTCATCCTTTCTGTGGGTGTACTGATTTATCAGGCACTGGATTTTGGATTGGATCAAAGGGAGGAGAGACTTTTGGCTCTCGATCTCAAGGATCTCATGAATCTCATGGGGAGCTGCATTGAGGATTACGGGAGTGATGAGAGACTGCAGGAGACTGACGACGAGGGCATTGGCAGGGATTCCGAGGTCGAACTCGATGAGGATAATTCGTCGTACAGTGGTCATAATAACGATTATTGCACTTTGAAACATATTGTTCAGGTGAATTTCAATTAAGATATTAATATATTTAATATTGAAAAATATATTGAATAACATTGAAGAATAAACAATTAAATGAATGAATTTTCAGATTTGCAGACAGATTTTATGAAATTTTTGTTGTACATAGAAATTGCTCGTAGAATTTTAATAAATTTTTAATCATCGAATAATTGGGATTATTGTGGGTTTCAGGTTTGCGCCAGGCATATCCAGGGAACTGATGATCAGGCAGACAGTCATTATCGGGCTGTGATCAGGGCGTTTGTTCATGAAGCTCTGGAGCTCTCCCAGTTCCTCGAGAAAGTCGGTGGTGAGAGGTTCCAATCAAATCTCAGGAATCTCCCTAACAACGAACGCTATGGAGTGTCCTCCCAGCACCTGGACACTATGAATTTTGATGACTGGGTAAGAACAGGATTTTTATTAAATGTCAATTTCAAAAACTGAAGAAATATCGGTGTTGGGATATTATTTTACTCCATAATACGGCTATTTTTTTCACCAACTTTTATAATATTTTATATTTGTAATACTAACAGTTTAACTCTTCTTCTAATAATAAATGTGTTTTACCGTTGCCGTAGACTGACATTCGGATTTGGAGGGCTATTCAGGTACATTATTGATGCATGAATCATAAATTAAAACAATAGTTTCTCTTAAATCTATAATTTATCATTTTTTTCGTTCAATCCATTCATGAAAATTTCTATTATAAATAATTATAAATATTATAAATAATATAATTAAAATTGGCAGGCGAGATTCTGGGTGCAAGTGATCGGCGAGCTTCGTCACGGGATAAAACTGAAGAAAGTCGAGGAGAACCTGAAGAAACGAGGAAAAGTGAAAGATCGAGGGACTGAATTCGAATTGACACCTTACGAAATTCTGATGGACGATATCAAAGAGCGGAGATACAATTTGAGAAAAACATCTGGACCTGTTCGCAATGTGAGGAAAGACGCTCGTGCTGTCGTATTGGAATTCATCAGGAGTCGACCCCCTTTGAAGAAGGTGCACCCGAATTATAAAATCATCAAATTCAATTTTTTCTCAAAAATCATTGATTTAATTTAATTAATTCAATTTAATTAGCTACAAAAAATATTTTTACTGTTCTCCTGTTAAATCGATAGTTTCCGAGAAATTGGTGATTACCGAACAATCCGATATTGTCTTTAATTTTAAAAAACCTTTATTCGATAATTTTTGTTTCAGGCATCAGACAGGCAACTCCCGCCCCGAAAAAAAGAATCCACAATTCGGGAATTGCTTATGGAGAGCATAAAGAAACCCCCGAGACCTCTTCGCTCCTGCAGGGAGCGTCAACTCCAGGAGAAAAAACCGATAGGTGAGTAAAACTCCATTTAATTTCATCTAGCCACCTAAATTAACATAAATAAATATGAAAACTCTTTCTTTTATTCATTTTCAAGTATCAACAATTATTTTTTCTTCTCATTTAATTTGAACGAGACCTGAATTTGAAATAAAAATAATTTTCCTGCACGATTTTTCATTTTCATTGAGAAAATTTTGGAAATCAATTCAATTGAATTGAGGTAATCGTCCGAAAATTCGATTATCAATTGAAATTAAATGAAAATGTTGGTTTAATGTAATAAAAAAAAAATCGTATTTCCTGGATGAAAAAAACAAATCAGGTAGATGAATTTTCGAATATTTCAACCCCCACTTTTCCACACGTCCTGCATTAAACAGGTGTTCCTACCTCGCGCAGGCGTGACTTTGAATTCCTCCTGTAAGCTGGCAGTCGACCATCCCCAATGCCACCCTCATCCATCCCCTAGACTCGATCAATAATCGTGACTCCCGTGTAAGTAACGATAGTGGCGCTAAAAATAATGGCTGTGAGTGAAAATACGTCGGGCCGAAGTGATAAGATTCCCTGGACATTAGAATAAATCATCCCCAATAAGAATTCCTTGGAAGCCCCAGAGTAATGACGAGTTAATCGATAATTATCAATCTGAAATATCCATCGATCAATTGGCAAATGCATAACTCAGAATCCTCCGGGGGTGTAAATTAATAATTACCTGGTGGAGATCAGTGAAATGCTATTGGCAGTCGGGGGTGAGTCCAGGCGAATTGTCCTGGGTGAGGTGCCACCTGTTCAGGCAGCTCAGGAGCAGGAGCAGGAATCAGCGCAGGATGTGGCAGCACAATGGCGTCAGCCTGAGTGTCAGGGGTCAATGCCAGTGCCACAGCCACGTCCACGAGCTGGAAGAAATACCGAGGCGAAAACTCGGAATCGTAAGTCCCGTAGGAGACGATTTAAGGGGACAGGTAAATCATTTCATCGCATTTGGGTTTTTTTTTTTTCATTTCACTCACTAATGAATTGTTTTTACTCCCTCGGTCTCAGGATTTTCAGTGAGCATTCAAGCCCCAAAATGTTTTCCTGTTTTTCTCAAAATCCTGAATTTCCTGAATTTCTTATTAATTAATTTGAAAAAAAATTTAGGAATTACTGGACCTCGAGTGAACGAATACTGGAGTAAAATTAATATCAATCCAATTATCTTCGAATTGTTGCAGATCCCCAGGGTGCATCGACCCCCGAGCCATCCCAGGACTCATCGAAGCCGCCGAAGAAGCTGATTCCGGTGGACTTTGACCTGAAACTCGACGGCGAAGAGGATTCCGACTCCGACGACTCCGTCTACGCAGTGACACGTTTCGAGGACGACAAGGAGCCACCAGCTCACCAGTGCATCGACCGTGAAGACGACGACGAGGACAAGGGTTCGGCGAATCCCTGGAGGAAAACCGGTGGCCTCCGTCTGACGAGAAATGAGTATCACCGTTTCTGCGACGCACAACTTGAGTCGTACGACCTGGCGACCCAGTGCCCATCACGCCGAGCATCAGTGAGAAAACACAGAGGGCCGAGGAACATCGCCCCGTCGTTCATCCCTCTGGGTACATGCTCAGTGCCCCACTCTCGTCCGCAAAGTAGAATCAGTGGTGTAGGGGACAGCGTAAAGATGAGCCTATCACCATCTCCAAATATTTCTCCAAGTGTTAGCCCCAGACCGAGGGAGAGAACACTTTTAAAGTCCCACACAACAGTCGATCCTAATTACAATCCACCCCAGGAGAAGAAGCCCTCCCTGGGTGATATGCTTCTAGACGAGAGGCTATCCCTCACCCTTGAAGAGATTGTCCACATCAGGAGTGTCCTGACGAAGGCCGAGCTCGAGTCACTCCCCGTCGAGGGGCGCGTCAAGGAGGACGTGGAGAAGAGGAGGGTGTGCTTCCTCTGTCTTAAGACGAGATTTGGATTGCTTGGGCCCTGGGGCCAGAGGTGTAGACTCTGCGAGAGAACAGTCTGCGTGAAATGCTACTCGAAAATGCGCATTCCAACTGAGCATTTTGCTCATGTACCCGTGGTTCTGCTGTCACCGGGTATCCTCATGTCGCCAGGCTCGGAGGACTCCACCAGGGGATGGCCCAGACCTGGTGGTGCTGTTGGATCAGCTCCAGCGTCACCGGCTCATCGACGCAGGGAAGGAAATCTCAGCAATCAGTCGAATACACCACTGTCTACACCAAATCCTGCCACCCCTGCTGATGGTCTCACACCGAGGGACGAGAGCACTGACAGAATCAAGTATCCTAGGGTTGGGGGCAGTCCCAGCAGAATGACAACGAGTGCCACTGGCAGTCTTGGCGTTGGCACTGAGAGACTCGTTGCTGAGAGGATGAGGGGTGTTTCCATGGTTGTTTGTCATGACTGCAGGATCATGGTCATTCAGATCATTAAGAGCTCCAGAAGCACCAGAGCTACTATTCGCAACAATGTTATCTCACGACTTACACTGAATTTATCACCTGCGTATGTTTAAGGGAAAAAAATGGAAAATTCAAGACAGATTTTATTCTGGAAAAACCCCAAGGGAAAGTCAGGTTTTTTTTTCCTGGAAATTCTGTCCCCAGGGGAAAGTTGGACATTTATTCATTTTTTTGGGGAATTTGACCTCCAGGGGAAGGGAAAGATTCAGACATTTTTTTTGTTAGAGTTCAGTTGAGTTTCCGATGGGAAAAAAAGAAAAATGAAAAAAAAAAAAACATTAGTGATAATGATTCTAAGTTAGGGAGACAGTACAGGTAATTGTGACGTGGTGGTGGTAATATTTTTAGGATCTATGGGGCCCAAATCGTAAGTTTTTCGATTGTACACCTATCAAGACCGTCACAAGAGCATCTCCAGGATGAAATCAAGGGATATCTCGGGATGTAGGGGTTTTAAGAAAAAATGTGATAAGAAATTTTCGTTTGGAAATTCAGTTTCCCATGAAAATCCTCCCCAATGTTTTCTCCTAAATCAACTTACTACCGAGATAATCGAAGTTGAAATTTTCAATTAATTACGTTTTAGTAATTAAAAAAATGAAGGATTTCCTCGAGAATAAATTCAACTGCACGGGAATAAATATTTCTTCCAATCAAATAACTTTCATCTCGTGCAATGAGATTTATTCCAAATGTCAGGTCATGCTCGGTGATGTTTTTGGTGATAAATTTGATGAATTGGATAAAAAAATCGAATAAAATTTGTGTTTATCATTCGAATCGATCAAAAGTAGTTACTAATGATGGCCTAATAATTGGAACCTAGTGATTTAACGGAACACGTGACAAAAAAATTTATGTAAATAGGTAAATCGATTGAGATTTGAATAGTTAAGGGATTGTCGGCCTTGGAACCGAGCAATATGTCTTCAGCGTACAGTTAATCGCGCAAAATAATTTGCAATCAGTTGTAATAATTATCCAGAGTATGTGTAAATGATGATGCATGAGATTTTGATGTATCCCGTTGATTCGGTGATGAAGTCAATGAAACAGCTCAGAGAAGTGATCGAACAGTGAGAATTTATGATCCCTGGATTTATTTATTTCGACATTCCCTGGTGTTTCATCCAGAGGACGAGATTCTGGGCTTTTTCTCGGTGACAGCTGATCGATATATGGGCAGGCCCCAACGTATTTAATCTATTTATGTATATCGCCGTTGACTGAAAGTAGAAATCGAGGGGACAATAGGGCACAACCAATTTTCCAAATTTCATTCCGACATTCCAAATTCCAAAAAATTCCAAAGAAAGAATCTATTCCTGAATTATTGCTGTCGATATTTTCATTCAATCTCGAATACGTGGGGTGGATAGAACTTCAATAAAGATTGAATATAATTTTGATGAGAAAGATCAAATTTTTCTATTAAATTTTCTCACACTTTTGTGGATTATTTATAGAAAATTCGTTTTGCCACTTTCTCCCCTGAATATAGAGTAGGCGTATAGAAAATCGAATGAATATTATATACATAGTGTGGTACATTGAGATCTATGACTAGATATGTCATTTCGTTGGTTCATGAGTCATCATGTATTATATAAATATTATACATGTTAAAATAATAACAAATGTCTCACCAGTTGAGCTCAACACTGAATTATCACGGATTGATGAACAGGGATGGATTATTTTTTTTGTTTATGTTCACATTAGACTATTTATATGACTGATTTTGTGAGAGTCAACACTTTTTATTGTTTATTTCGGGTTTGGAGTAAGATGTTCAATTAAATTTTTCTAATTCAATCAATTAGCTAATGAGATAATTGCAAGAAATTTCACCTCTCAAACTCAAATGATTTTATTCAGTCCTTTGTTCCTAAGTTTGAATGATTTGTTGTCAGAATTCGTTTACTCGATTTGTTTTTGCTACTTGAATTTAATCAATTATTTATTTAAGAGCGATCGATCTCATTTGTTTGGCATTTTTACTTAATATCCGCAAATCACTTCGAGAATATCTGTAAACCCGGAGAATCTCGGTGTGAATTGTCCAATTATTTCCGATGGCTTGGCAATTATTGAATAGAAGCATCGAACTGTAAAATAAATCGAATAAAAATGCATAAATATTTAATGAAAAATGAAAAAATGAAGTTCTTCCTTCCTCGAGGGATCAATAAATCGAGCATCAGAGGTGATTAATAAATCCATTGAATTCCACTTTGAATGTTTATTCAAGTATTTAATCATCTCGAATCTAATTGTTGATAATAATAAACAGTTTACAGTTTATACCCTACGGTTACTGTGGGTATTCCTCCATTTGTTGTCAAAATTAAATAATTATTTCTCAAAGTAATACCTGCAATTAATTCGTCAGGAACAGTATTGATAATTATTTACAACTGTTCGATTATTGCGTCGTAACGAGGTGGATGATTGAAATCTGTAGTTACGATTGTTTTTTTTTTTTCTTGCAAGGCTACAGAATTTTTTAAATAATTAATCATCATCAATGCTGTCATCTAAATTTCACTCTCTGCCTACATAGTTGAGCTTGATCGCGCAGTAAGCGTACAATAGGATAAAGTTAATGAAATAAATTCTCCCTCGATTGTTTATTTTCTCCTCTATATTAAATAGTAAAATATATGGCGCGAGTTCGACAAACACAGGTAGCGTAATTAGAAAAATATTTATACAATAGTATAAAAAGAAAAATATCTACACGTAAAACGAATTGAGAAATATTATCTCTCGTGATGTTGAATAGTGAACAATTTTTCTATACGTTAAATATTCCACTGATAAATTTAATGTACAATTCAATTAAAATTACGGGATATATCTCAATGAAAAATCCATTCATTCGTTACAATAAAAAAATTACAATATTTTACGTAGAGAAAAATCGTTTTTTCTCTCTCTTCCATTTTATAAATAAAACTTAAATTAATTATAATCTAGGTAATTACGTTTTCATTTGAATTTGAACTCTAATTCCTGTGGATGCTTGCTTACATTTTGCTGGAAATTTTATTCTCATCATATTATTTCTGAGATCAAAGGGTGAGAGTCAATTATTCCGGGATTTACCATGAAATTTACTATAAATACCTATCATAAACCTAGATTTTGATTTATCCACTTCGATTTTCTCCTCGGAAATTTTTCTTTTGGTTTTTTTTTTGCATTGCATGAGTCATTGATCCTTCAATAAAATTATCCCAAATAATGATGATTTCCCAGAAAATTTCCATAATCTCCACCAGTGACTAAAAAATTTCCCCCAAACGGTCCATGACCCCTTGATCTTAGAAAAATCCCTAATTAAGGTATTAATTATCAGCGAATGAGGCAAGTGGCGCATATTCTCTGGGGTCCCATGCAGTCGTCATGACAGAATGCTCCACACTGTCGACAGATCACCATAGCACCCCTCATGTGGCACTCGCAGGGTGGAGGTGGATCTCCGCCCATGATAACCCCAGGTGCTGCTGGTTCAGCTCCTCCACCTCCTCGTCCATCAGCTCCACTCCTAGCCTTGAGAGTGACAGCCTGATGTGAGCCCTCACCAGCACTTGCTGGCCTCCCCCGAACCAGATGAACTCCCACTCCAAGTCCGGCAATTTGTGGGGGTAAAGGTGGTGCTGAAGATGCCCTAGGGGCTCCATCACTCACTCCAGTTCTCTGCACGAGAATATATTGTCCAAAATTAGTGGAACCATTACCAGCAACAGCACCCAATTGGGCGACTGTTGTCGTTGGTCCACCCTCGATCATTTCCACAGGCTGTTGACGAGTTGTCGTGAATACCTGGCGCAGCATCACCGTCTGCCCCTTGTTGGCATTCTTGTGGGGTATCTGTTGCTTTTGGGATTTAACAGTTGTTATCGTACGTCCACCGGATTTATTTGTCGTGAATGCACCATCTCCACGAGCTAGGAGACTCGGTGGTGGCTTCAGATGGGCCTTCAGCTGATCACGATTTGGAGAGCTCTGAATCACCTGGAGAAATTATCGAATTAATCATTTTCCTTCAGTCTAACATTATATTCTATAGAAAAAAAATAAAATAAAATAAAATAAATAACAAAACCTACCGCTTGACAGATTTGATAACTCCTCTCAAGGTTGACCGCACCAGGCGGCTCCTTGGTGGAGCTCCTGCTCCTGCCCCCCTGTTCCTTCCCCCCATTCCTGGATCCCCTATAGCCAACCTGTCCCCCAGACCTGGATCTGGGATTAACACTAGGACTAGTATACTGTGGCTGCATATTAGCAACGATCTGTCTCCCCTGGGTAACAGCCGGCACCGAGATGGCATTCTGATGCTGCTGAACAACAATAGCACTCTGGGGATGGCCCTGAACTACCTGTCCACTCGGCCTAATCCCCGCAGAAGTGCTGATCCTCGTGATATTGCTCTGTGACGCTTGAATCCTCGAATTGACACTCTGCTGGAATCTTGGTACAAATCTGATGGACTGAAGAGGTGGAAATGCAATGATGGGAGAGCTCTGCTGTACATTTTTCAGGAGGCAAGACGTGACTGGAGCATTGAGAGTCATTCCCTCCTGGAAGGGGGCGGCCTGGGCAACAGGTAGTGCCACACAATTGACACCCTCATTGCTCGACGAGCTGCTGAGGCTCTCATTGCTGAATTGCTGGATCTGCTGCACCTGCTGGACAACCTGAGGTGGATTAACACTGGTGGTGGAGTCAGTGGTGGTTGATGTGTCACTGCAGTCCTCTTGAGTTGTCACTGTAATATTAGCAGCGACAGATCCATCGAGAGCAGCTGCAACCAGGGGCCAGGGCACCTGAATATCCTGCGCTGGATCGATTCCAGGATTTACAGGCGGATCAACACTCCAACTGCAATCAAGCATCTCCGAGCAGACGTAATTATTGGCATCCCTGAGCTCCTCGTCCTCATTCGACTCATTTATCTCAGCCTCTCTGATCTCCTCACCCTCGATCACTCCATTCTGCTGCTCCACCTGATCAGCATCCTCAGAGCCATTAGAACCCATGTCCATGCCCTCGAGAATTGGATAAATTATTTCCTCGGTGCAGCCTGATATCTCCTCGTATGCCTCTCTCATCTCTCCTCTCACCTCCAGCTCGTGGATCCTCTGGAGGGTCTCAGAGTCGATCTCCATTCCCTCGGGGATGGGCTCGGTGTCTGGAACCACTGTCTGGGCTATTCCCTGGGGCATACCCTCCTTTATCTGAACGTTTATCACGTGCTCCTCGATTATCAGCTCCTCTGGTGTTTTTCCACTGTCGCAGATGCTTTCCACAGCAGCTGCACTCTCGCACTCGGGTATCTCAAAGATTTTATCCGGTTTCGGGGAGGAGAACTCCTCGAACGGCTCCTGGGAGTCCAGAGCAATCTCAGCTACGTCTAGATTCATCGACAGGGTGTGACAATCGTTGAGAATTGGTGTCCCGCACTCTGGAGGAATCTCAATCACCTCCACTGGCACATCTGGCACCTCTGGCTTCCTCGGGGATGTGGCCATCATCGTGGAGAAGATCTCCGGGTCTTCGGACTGTGGGAATTGCACTCTGGTGGACTCTGGTATCGAATTTGCCACCTGCTCCTGGGATATTTGTTCCTCAATTTCCAGCATTTGCTCCTCCATCTCCTCCTGCCTCTCCTCCTTGTGCTCCTGATCCTCGAGCTCGTCCTCAGGAACTACCTCCTTCGGGCTCACCTCCGACACCTCCTCCCGCAGTTCAATCTCCATCGACTCCAGCACAGGACTCTCAACTGCAGGTGCCTCATAAGTCTCTGGTTCCTCATCTTTATTCTCCTCTTCAGGGACAACTTCCTGGGTCTCTGGGGTGGGCTCTGGTGCTGGCACCTCGACGATGGGACTCGGTAAGCTCTCGGTAATCACTCGAGTCTCCTCGTGTTCCTGGGGCGATGGGGGTGGTGGCAAGGGAGCTTTTGACTCCTCAGGGGGTATCTCTTCAACATCAACTTCAGTCTCAGTCTCAATTTCGGTTTCAGTCTTGTCGGGATTAGTCTGTCTCGTGAATAATATTTTTGGGGTTGCCATGGGGGTGGTGAGGGCCTCCTGGGGATTCTCCAGGCGCAGTCTCAAGCTTGATCTAGTGACAGCACCACCGTGTGATGCAGCTCTCGATTCGTTGATGCAATTTATACCCAGACGAACTTTTGGCTCACGTTTGTCACCCCAGATCGGCTCAAAGTGCTTGAGCTTCCAGGGATCGAGCTTGTTCTTATCCCTCTCGGCTTCCATCTTCAGCCGTTGCTGATTCTCTGGTGTAAATTCACCCTCGGCCAGGCGTTTTCTCCACTCGAGACAGGCACGAGCGAAAAATTCGTTATTCAAACCCGATGTTGCTGCATCCTGGCGATCCACTGAGGGCAGGAGCTGCGCTAGTTTACGTTGATAGAGTGGTGGTAAGCCCTGGAAGGTGTGTCTGTTGAGGAGTGCTCGCAGGCTTGTACTCGCGAGGATACTCGCGGGTGACTCAAGATCCACCAGACCTGCTTCGAGCTGAGCTGCTGCTGACAGCTTCTTCGTTGATCTTCGACGTGATGATTTCAGGCTGAATCCTGGCAGACTTGCTAGCACTTCTCGCATCGTTGCTGCTGGCTCTTCAACTTTAATTTTAAGAGGAGGGGGCTTTTGGTGATTTTTTTTTCTTCTGCTGAGCAGCAGTGGAATTGTATTTATTTAAATTGGTATTTTTTTTTTTTTGGATTTGTGAAGATTTTCGGAGAATACTCAATATACACAAAAATGTTATCTTCTATTTAAATTCTCCAAGTTAAAATTCTGAATTCTTATTCATATTCGAACCAATTCAATAAAATAAAAAAGATAACAATTAAAAATTTTCGCAATATTCGCGAGGGTGAAAACGGATAAAATCCGGAGAGATTCTTGCAGTCCCAAAAAATCTCCCCAAAAACCTCTCCAGAGGACTAAGAAAATCTCGGCTAAAATAAAAAATAAAAAAAACTCACCATTATTAAGCTGAATGGAAGCTGTTGGATCATTGACAGTAACCGGACTGATAATAACCGGTGGAGGTGCAGGTGGTGGTGCCAGTGGTTTAACAACAATTTGTGGCAATGCTCTGGAATTGCCACTGGCAATTGTTGTATTTTTCCTTCTCCTCTTGGCCTGCTGCCTGAGTGCATGCTTGATGACCTTTTTACTGTGTACCATACCCGAGTACCCGGAACATCCAGGATTGATATCCCCAGGCCTGTCCTTGCCCTCCACCTCAACGTCCATCATGACAACACAGATTTAACCTCACAAATAATAATTGCGTGGCCAGTCCCTCGGATTATCCCCAGACAATATCTCCACCTGATGCATCCCAGGTTATTCTCCCAGCATTCATCCAATAATCATCATAATTACCTGAATTACTCACTCTTATCACTCTTACCCCTAGATCAAATATCGTCTCTCCCTCCCACATGACAACCCCTCACCGACGATAACAGGGTAAATTCAAATATCCAGAGGCTAATCCTCTATCAGTCATCAACACAATACGGTGATTATCATTTCCTAGATGAGAAAAAACATACACATACATGCGTACACAAGTCAACTCCACATTGTTTTCACAGAGTGATTGTTTTATACTGTCATTTACTCGATTGTCCTTTGATATTTTTTCTCGGTGCTGGTTATTGCTTTTTTTTTGGGAGGGGGGGTTATTGTTGGACCCTTGGGGGTGTCTCGATTATTCTCTATCTTCTGGATGGCTGACAGGAGATCAACGACAACTGGCTGGGTCGCTTTGTTCGGCCATATTTGCGCTTTTCAGCGTTTTCGTATGTGCGACGTGGGATACGTTTTGTTTTGGGGGGTTATGTACCGATTTTTAACGATTTTTTTTTATCATCGGTTTGACGACGAGGGGTGCAGCACTCGGGGGAGGTTTTTGTCATTTTCGCGTCATTCGGGATTTTTTTTTTTCGGGTGATTTTTATTTATTTATTTTTGGGGGTTGGGGAAGGGGGCATTTTCATTGGCTCGTTGTGCTGCCGATTTGACGGGCTCTGCCAATGGTGCCTCTCGAGATCTTTTTCCGCGTACGCATGAGCGTCAGTAGGTGCGGATTAATAGGCGCGAGGTTTGATAAGTAGGATAGGATATTTGAGGATTTAATTTGGGCGGAGAGGAATTTATTCAATAATTTTCATTGAATTTTAATCAGTTTTTGTGTCATTCTAATTTGAAATAATTTTATTCGTTATCGGGGTGCGTTAACAATTTATTCTTGACTTCCTTGAGAGTCTCGACGTTTTTGGCGATGACATTAAGGTCAGATCCGATGTCACTGATCTTGGCGGAGAGGTAGACAGACTCCTGGAAGCGTTTCTGGGCGGTTTTCAAGCTCTGGGGGACGAGAACACCGAACCACTTGAGGGGATCCTGAATCTCCCTCATAGCCTCCTTATCCTTCAGGTTTATTGAGAACCTGGGGGTGGCCTCGTCGTTCTCCTCCAGGTAGGATGTCTCCAGGTTGAAGAGGGACGTTATTGTCGTGTCTTGCGGCACTTGGAGCATTCCCACGGACTCTTTTCCCTGAATGTACCTCGCTTTTGCCATCTCCAGGTGTCCATCACGGAGATGATTCTCCAGGTGAATTGTCGTCACCACTTTTTCCTCCATCAGCTCCAGGGACTGGAGGAGCAAGTTGTCCAGCCTTTCGCAGACATCGATGATATTGTTTTTCATTTTTGCACTGTAGAATTATAATTATTCCAACGATTTCATTTTCTTTTCCACAAAATTATGACATGTCTATGGTAATGAGGGGATTTTCATCACCGATGGCATGTGGAGCGGGAAATTCAAATAATAACAATAATTTATTATTATTATTTATACGTATAAATAATTAATAGACAAAATTATGAAACATAGATATTTTATTCGCTATAAAGATTCCTTTCATATCTCAAAAGAGCAATATAAATTTTAAATTAAAAATAGGTATCGATTATCGACGAGACTGTAGATAACCAGGGTAGGCCGCTGCTTCTCGTTCCTGGTCTCCCACATTTCATTGCAAATCTGCTGAATGTATTTCTTATATCGCGGATGCCTGAAACAAAAAATAAATGCATAAAAATGAGAATTCAATTGAATTAACAGATGAAAAAGAATGAAAACTAAAATCGAATGAATCCACTGACTTTTCAATAATCACTTGCACACTCCTCTCAAAGTCTTGCTCCCCCTGGTCGACCTCCAGGTGTCCGCCAATGCTCCTGACGACGCCCATCTCCAGAAAAACCCCAAAAACCTGTATCTGAACTTTACTGGCAATTCTCTGCAGGTGGGACGTCATCTGGGCGAGCATTGAATTTTTGTAACTCCTCCTGCCACTTCCGGACAGTTTATCTCTCTCAGACAATACAAAATTAACATTAACATTGAGCGGAGGATTTTCTGAATAACTCCTGCTCTCAGATCTATTCAACACCGGCAACGATGTGTCATTCCTCTGCCTCTGGAAGAACTCCCCTACGTCATTAACCGATATTTTTCTCTCCTGATACCTGTCTCTCTCCCAGGTCTGCACCCTGAGGCTGCCCTTCTCCCCATCCTTTAGAATAACCACATGACTGATAGAGTTCTCCCTGGAGTAATCGATGACCTCATCAGCAGTGGTAAAATCGAGTGCAGTCACCCCGAGACCGAGTCCCCAGAGTTCCCTGAGTACAGCAGCCATCTCCACCTGCCTATTGGAGCCATCGATGCAGCAAACAGCAACAGATACATTTCCCCCGAATTTACTGACCATCAGCTGACCATCAGTGTTGTCCAGGGATATCTCCCCTACAGCATGAACAAGCCTTTCCAACGAGACACTAATACCCACCCCATGCTGCTTGAACTCCTTGCTAGCCAGCCCCGTCCTCTCCAACACCTGCCTAAACTCCGCCAACATCCGGTCATACCTGCCACCAGCAGCAATCACATCGTGACCCCCTCGTCGCTTTTTTCTCCCCATGTCGCAAGTGATCTGGTAAACAATTCCACTGTGCTGCTGCTGTGTCTTATGCACCAGGAGAGGTGCCACGATAATCTGCCACCTGACACCAAGTGCCTCGGCATTAGATACGACAGTCTCAATTTCCCTGAGTCCCTCTCTCGCGAGAATAGCAGCATCAGTGCCTTTCCTCTTGGTGATGGTCTTCAGGACACTCGATATTTTTGCCACTGAGCTCTCGGTGTCGAATAAATTCGATAGGGTCGACATCGCCTGATCCGTTAAACACAAGCTGATGAGGTGGGTCTGCACCTGAAACTTGGAGAATTTCCCCTCCCTGGCGTCGTAAAGAATCGTGTAAATATCCTGATACTTCTCAGGCTCGATGCCGCAGTACATGAGGACAGCCTGGAGCAGTGACGTATGATTAATTCTAACAGTGAAATTTCTCTCTCGGAGCTCTGGCAGTTGATTAAAAATATCCCAGACGATGTAGATGAGCTCAGCCTCAGCCATTAAATCCACTGATGTACTGATAATGTCGAATGCACACTCGTAGAATTCCCGGGGGTGAAAACCGTAAACTTTTTTCTCGTGGTAGACCCTCTCGATGGCGTATCGCCTCATGTGGAGGATGTTGTTCCAGGCTGCATATCTGGCGAATGGTGCACGAAGATCAGAGGGTATTGACACGATATTTCCAGACCTCGTCATGAGTTTCACCGTTGACTCCATCTGGTTGTACTGGAATTTCGCTGATTTTGGCATCAGCAGGGGTGTCGTGACATTCATTCCCCCATGTTTCCTGAATACCTCAACGATTTTCGATTTAACGTACTCCCGGAGGAGATCAGTCTTCATGAGGGAGAAGTTGTTCTTCGGTGGTAGAAGATTGGTGTCATAAGTTATGTATTCAGCAGGTGTTACTTCCTGACTGAAGCAGCAGGCAATCAGGTACTTGTACTCCTTGCTCTGATTATTGGACAATGTGTGCCTCACCATCTCCTGGAGCTCTGCCTCTTCGAGCTGAGGTGGTGGTAAATATTCCGATGAGAGTAACTCCTGGGACGTGGGTCTCTGACTGGGATCATGATTTAACAGCCAACGAAGAAGATTAATAACGTTTGTCTTGACATTCTCCATGAAATCGTGGGGTAGAACGATATCCTTTGTCCTCACGTCCGAGAGTACTTTGACCCTCTCCATGCCAGTCGCCAAGGGCAGGCAGAACATCTCGAAGAGGATGATCCCAAGGCTGTACATATCGACTTTTTGATTGTAAATTGCCTTTGCTGTTTTGGAATTGAGCTCAGGGGCTGTGTAGAGCTCAGTGCCAATCTCTCCAGTCATCGAGGATGGCTCGTCAGTCTCGAAGGTCATTGACTTCTCAATTACCTGGACTCGCCTCTCACTCGGTGTCCTTGTATCGATAGTGGCAAGACCAAAATCCCCAATTTTCACGTGATCGTTGCTATCCAGAAAGATATTAACAGGCTTGAGATCCCGGTGAATCATTCCCTGCTGATGAATATGTACTATTCCCTCGACGATCTCTCGAAAGAGCCTCCACACCCTCTCCTCGTCCTCAAAGAGGCCATTGTCGATGGCTGTCCTCAGGGTGCTCTTCTCGCAGAACTCCATCTGAATGTACATGAATTGAATTTCCTTGGAGGAGTCAGTCTCAGTCTCGTTCCTGATCGATTGCTCCATCTCGCCATGATCCTCGGGACTCTCACAATCGGACGTACCCTCCTGGGTCGTGTCTTTCTCGAATTCGATGCTGTCGGAGGAATCTGTACTGAGGGATGTCCCCAGGAAGAATCCCCAGCCCTCGTCGTCGTCGCTCTCGCTCTCGGTGTCGGATTCCTCGGAATCATTTGACTTGGCTACTGATGCCCTTGACTCGTACGAGAGACTCCACTCGACCTCGTGAATAGGTGGCACCAGCTCCTCGACGATGTCAGCATCGAAATTCATATTGTTCACGTGATTTTTGTTGATTATTCTGTGGAGGTCGACACCTGGGGGAGAGATATTTGGGGTGGTCTCCCTGGTGGTATCCCTGGTGGTGTCCCTGGAGGACAGTGCATCCTCCAGGATTGCTGACTCGATCCAGGAGTTATAGTACCTCACGACATTCTCGTGATTGAGCCTCGAGAGTAATTTCACTTCCCTCGTGATCTTTTTATTCAGCTGCTTATTCTTGGCGTCCAAGGGGATCCTCTTGATGGCATAAATTCCCCCATCCAATTTATTCCTGACCTTGATGACATCTCCGAAGGCCCCTTTTCCCAGCCACTTGAGTACCTCAAACTCATTTTGAATCCTAGAATTATTGAGAGTCGCTGGGAGGTACATGTTGACATCCTGGGCGGGCTCCTCGGGCTCCTCCTCCTGCTCGTGCCCGCGAGGTGTTTTCGGAGGGGCAAGACCCCTCTCCAGAGGTGTCCTGATGAAGCTGTGCTGCAGAAGCTGCTCAGCAGACCACCTGGATCTCTCATTATTATTCAGACATCGCGAAAGAAAATCACGAAGTTCCCCAGGTAAATTCGTCGACCACTCGATCGTCTGCTCCTTCTCCGAGATAATCGTCCCCTTAAATAGAGACAATAAAATTATCCCGAACCTGTAGATATCTAATTTCTTACCACCACGACCTTGAATCGTAGGAAAATCGTGTTCAGCCTTGGCTAGACAGCTCGACTGATAGATATCAGACAATCTCTTGTTGAGGGAATAATCGGAGACCTTGACCATTCCACACCTGTCGATGTGAATGCTGGAGTCCCTCAGATCCCTGTGGACGATGTTGTTGGTGTGGAGGAACTCGAGAGCTGAGAGAACTCCACTAGCTATGTGCCTGAGGATGTCAACAGCCACTGGTATATTCTCAGAGAGGAAAAAAGTGCACGTCGTACCCACCACGAACTCCTCCAGGATATAAATAAGAATGTTGTCCTTGCTCGGCTGGTACTTCATGTTCAGGTATCTCACGAGATTCATATGCTGGAGACGATGGAGATGATTGAGCTCCTGCTCGATACTGGCTATTTGCTTCATCGAGTGCTGGAGATCAGTTGTTTCGTTGGGTGTGTCGTCTGGGTCCTGACTACCAGTGCTACCACACTTTAAGGACCACTCGGTGATCGCTAGAAGTTCACCAGTGATCATGTCGACACCTGCGTACACCACTGAGCCCTTCAGACTGTGCCCCAGGCACTTGCCTCTGTGCACCTGACGTTCACCACGATTATTGTCAAAGTGCAGGAGTTTTGTGCCACGGTGTTCACACAGGGAATTACTCTCGGAAGATTCGGAGGTACTCATACAACGTCTTCGAGAGTACGTGCGTACTCGTTCACCTGGGGACGAGGGTATCGATTGGGAGAGGATAATCGAGTCTGATCGATGATTCGTGTCCTTACGATTTCGCACCTCTGCCTTCAGTGCCTCCTGACGCTTCAGGATCTCGTCCTGGAGGAGCTGTCGCTCTTTGTCCTCTTTCAATTGCTTCTCTTTCATCTCCGATTGAATTTGCTTGGACTTCTCCTGGTGGCGTGACAGCATCTCCTCGTAAAAGGAGCTGTAGCCTGGCTTGTTGTTCTCATGGAGGAATTTTTCCACGTGCTGTGCCAGGTCGAGGATCATTACCTCGCCTTTCAGGCGCTTTGCCAGAGCCTCCAGCTCCGACGAGAGGATCGCGATCTGGTGGTTAGAGAGACCTCGGCTGTTCTTCAATTTTATCGAGGGGATGTGGTTCGGGTAATTCTCGTTGCATATCGTGTGCAGGTCGATTTGCGCGTGTACCTCCATCGGTCCGGACATTCCTCGCTGGGGGGTCAACGTCATCGATATGTCCAGAGGATGCCATCTTCGGTGCGGCTTTCCGCGACGCAGGTCTCGCAGCTCATCTCCGTAGATTGACTGATGTACAAACATTTGAATGGTCATTACGAGCCGGAGATTATTGTTTCGGTTTTTAATTATAATAGAAGATAATTATTTATTATTTTAATGGATAGATGTGTGAGGATAGAATAAAATTTTTTAAGGGAGAACACTGTCGTAGTATTCTGGAAATGAAAAAGGAATTTTCGATTCGAAGGTGATGGACAATTGAATTTATTAATTTAATAAACAAATTGGAGTTTTGAATGGAAATTCAAAAAATTCATACAGTGAATAGGTTTCCTCAATGAATTACTCCGAGAGTGGAAATGAAATTCCACATTTAATTGTCTTCCTCCCCTCCCAAATTCCCAACAAAGCCGATAAACAATAGATAAACATTTAAATTCTCACCTTAAGTACTTCAAATTCATTATTCTGCCTGTCCTTGCACGATTCACCAGACATTCTGCCAAAAAACCCCCCACACCCCCTCCAGCATACAATAACTCGTTACAAAAAATATTAAACAAATATAAATCTCGCATTCGACTATTTAATTAATTAATACAAATACGGTATAAATTTATTAGGTTAGGAATGAGAGCGCGATACTTGGGGCACAATTTTTCACAGGAAATATCGAATTTAAAAATTAATCATGAAGCGAAGAGACTTCATTACAACATATTTTAACTCATTCGACTACATGATGACAATTATTTATTTGTTAAACCAAGATATCAACATTGAATTTGTGTTCGAACTTGAGTGAGAACGACGCATACATGTTTTTTTTCTTTCTCATAACAAATTCAATTCAACAGATTGGAGCAAAATTCAAGTGACAATTACGAGTAGTTTACAATGAACGACTAGATAATTAAATAATTTGAGTGCTCCAAGCGATCTTCATTTATATCACTTGTTTTCTTGTTTTCATCAGGAAAATAAAATATTTGATTAAAATGTATTTTTCATTTTGCAGAGGCGATTCAAAGAGGGATGAGTAATCCTTGTACCTGCACCCCAGGTGATTATCATCGACGATACGACGTGTCCCATTCATCCGAGGGATTTCATTCAGTCCAGGTTTATTTCCTCATGAATTGCTGTCTGCAGTGAAATAAACCGGTAATCCGGATCACCTCTGCGTAATTACTCCGGGTATCGATGAGCAATTCCTCAGGATTCATAAAGCCTTCCTCGACAATCCAATAATCTCCGGACGGTGTCCTGGTTCTCGAACAAATCGATGGAGACATTCCATCCGACACGTTGCACCGGTTTTATGACAGGATCAGATTTAGGTGGAGGACATTATAATTATAGGTGGGGTAATTACGATTTTATTCGCTTGTCCATTTTATTTCTAAATAATTTCTTCAAAAAATAATTCATCTAGTGCCCTTTAATTATTTATTATTAATTTCCCTTTAAACTGTTTGACTATCTTGATTTTTTTAAATTGATTGCGAGAGAATAAAATTTTTTATTGCGATAGCAATTGAGATTTTTATTTGCAAATGAAAAAGTCTAGTGACCCTTTACCCTCTCTTATTCTATTTCGTTGGCAAGGGTATTATTATTTTTTTTTGTTAATGGGTCGAGTACCTAGTCCAATTGTAAACACTTTCTTTGAATTACCCGTTGACATAATAACCGACTTAAATTCCTAGAAGGCAGGGGAATAAAAGGTTCTCCAGGTAATACCGTAAACCCCCGGAATAACAAAGCAAAACCTTTCTGTTTATTATTTGCGGAATAGTCTCGAAGTGTCGGAGAAATTGTGGGAGAAATTTTTCTCATTCACTCCATTTTCCGGGAAATTTTTTGCCCTTTTTGTTTCCACTGCAGCTGTCCTAAGCCGAAAAAATTCCACCATTTCTCTGGCAATGCGAATTTAATGTCGAACATTCATTTTTATTTTCGCATTGAAAAATTTGAGAATTCAATTATTTCATTTACTTTTACAAAATATTGATTTATTCAATAAACTATTGATTTTATAGAAGACGTCCAAATTAATTTAAAATCCATTTTTTAACAATAAATTCGATAAATAAACTTCATAATAGTCATTCAATAATAAATGAAATAGCGAAAAATTGTATAAACATTTTTCCTTGAATTATTTCTACCGAAAAATTACAGGAAAATTCACACAATTTTCCATAAAAATGGAATATTTGAAAAAAAAATTGTCAGCTCTCTTTTTTTTTTCTTCTCTCCAATATTCATAAAATTAATAATCGATCGATTGTTGAAGTGCATTTTAATGACAATTATAAATAATTTTTCTAGAAAAACAAGGACTTAAAATTCTTCGCTAGACTGCTGGGCCCTCGGGCCCGGTCCCACCCCCACTCCATTCCCTCTAGGTCTATAAAACCGAAGCCTGACCCCCACTCGAGTCACTCCAAATTTGAAATTCAAAGTGTCAACAGCCAAGAATCTTCCAATAATTATCCTCTAATTTCCGGAGTTATCGGTGAATTTCTTGTGTTTATTATTGAAATCGTGCCACAATGTCGACTCTAGAGTTAAACACCATCTGCGAGCCCAAGGTAGGCAAAAAAAACATCTGAATTCGCCAATAAAAATTTCACCAGACTTGCAAATGAATAATAATAAATCGTAATAAATATCTCCAATTCAGTCAGAAAATAGATGAATCAATTATTTATAATAATCGACTGAATTGTTCTCTTCCAGGTGACATCCATGGAGCTGGTGCAGGTGAACCACTGCGACCTGCCAGCGAAACTGTCAAAGATATCAGCAGCCCCAGGAAGTCTGTACTCTTTCCCCACCGATCTCCTGACAGACCTGATAGTCGACGTGATAAGCAGCATCGAAGAGTCAGAGCAGTTGCACGCAGCCCAGGCATGTCGTCAACTTCTAGATTACTACGCCGAAGATCCCCCAATAGATTTACTGATTCGAAAAGGAGTGATAGCCCGTTGCATCGACTTTCTCTCAGCCAACCACAATCCAGCCCTCCAATTTGAGTCCTTGTGGACCCTGACCAACGTCACAGCAGGTACATCCGAGCAGACGATGTATGTCGTTGGCAATCGCGCGATTCCCAAGCTGGTGGAGTTGCTGAAGTCACCAGTACCCGAGGTAGCTGAACAGGCAGCCTGGACCCTGGGGAACATCGCAGGTGACAGTCCAGAGGCACGTGACAAAGTCCTCAAATACAACTGCATGCCTCTACTCCTGAGGCTCATTAAACCCGACATCTCAGTGGCATTCACCAGGAACATCATCAGGAGCATTGCCAATCTGTGCAGACATGACATCTCTCCACCACCTTTTGATGTCGTCAGGATGGCACTTCCTGCTCTCAATGATCTTCTTGATAGAGAGGATCCTGAGGTATGTGCTGACGCTACACTCGCTCTTTCGTACCTCAATGAGAGTTTTAATGGATGGATGGAGAGCGTTCAGAACACTCTGGAGGAGTTCCAGATGTTTTTCTCCATTATTTTTTATATGGCTATTATCTATGTGTGGGTAATATCCTGCTTTGAGAAAATTCATTCCACCACCGACTCAGGGAACTCCACCATCTCCTTGGAAGATCCGGCTTTTACCGCTTTGCAAAACATCGGGGGGCATGGGTCACAAGTCTAATCATTTTCCATGGATCTCAGGAAATTTTGCGAAATAACGAGTGATTAATTTGTTTAATCGGTTTTTATTGATTATTATTATTTGAGGGAGAATTTTAATGAATACTTTCCAGTCACTTGGGAATTTATTTAAAAAAATTGGGATAAAGAAGAATCAGAAAAATTACCGATTAGATGTCCAGTCATGAACATCTAGATATATTTAATCTGAAAATTATAGAGAGGAGTTGTGTATATAAATAATAGTCAATACGTGAATTAATTTTTAAGAAATTCAATATTGGAGATGGATTTAAAATGAATGAAAGATATGGGAAATTTGGGAAAAAATTTGATGTGTGTAATGACGAGTCAATAAACGAATTATTTTAGCAATAAAAATTGTTTTTTTATTCTATTCATCTATTTTAGATCGCAATTACAAGTCCACAACGATCCAGAGAATAAAAAAAAGGTTTGTATTTATTGTAATGTTTTTATTGCAATGCTGGGGTGTCCATCAAGTCGACGGGGTGAATTTCATTTTCTGCAGTATGAATGTTCTTTGTTTTTATTTGTTTTACTGAAATTAACCGACTGTAGAACGTGTGGAAGGGGGAAAACATATCTTGTGGAATTTCAATGAAAAAAATTATTCAATATGTTGAAGATATACCACTAATGAATTTAAATTTTTAAATATGCGCGTTGTCCTAGCGGTAACGTGCTCGACTGGCACGCCGGCGGTCCGGGTTCAATCCCGGCATCATTAATTTTTTTTTTTTTCAAAATAATTTCAATTTTTTTTTTTGTTAACGGCAAATCAATTGAAATATTGTTTAAAAACTGAATATTTGATAATCGGGGAGATATGCAATGAAATTGAACAATTTGACATTGTTAAAAACGAAAGTTTTTCAATATATATACTCCTAATGAAATTTTATTATTATAATAGCGCGTTGTCCTCGCAGTCTTGGTCTAGAAACCGTCGAGGCAGCACACGTACTCGTACACGCTCCTCCTCGTCTTTCAAACCGCTTAAAACCGTTTTTTCAACTATCCAAATTTCACCCCGCGCCGTTCTTTCTAACAAATTTGAAGAGAATAAGTCACCAGGGAAGTTTAGGGTGTCATCACCCCTCAACAAAACCCTCCTGAACTCGAATAAGAGAAGGCTAACAATGAGCCCGCCAAATAAAATGGCTAAGAAAAACAAAATCGTTCAATCACTGGCGACGCCAAACACCTCGCCAGCACGGATTCTGAAGGGTAATGACAGCTCTGTAACGGATAATAATGTCACTGATCCCACTCCCCCAATAATTATTGAAAACATCAACCTTGATACTATGGATCTAATCAAAGCAATTAAAGAAGCCGTCAAAAACAAGGACTTCAAAATCAAATTTCAAGGAAAAACCTCGGCCATCCACCTCAAGTCGAGAGTTGACCACTCAGCAGTCATCGAAATATTAGCCAGCAGAGAAATCAAATTTTACACGTATGGATTTAAACAGGACAAACCCAAGAAATTCATATTAAAAGGTCTCCCATCCTGCTTCAGCGAACAGGACATTCTGACGGAATTGAGGCAGAACGACATTCCTGTCATTGCTGTTCGGCAATTCATCAAGAAGGTCAAAGACCCCCCGGCGTCCATTAAGCTGCCCATCTTCTCGGTGACAGCTGACCCCACAACCTCATTGGCTAACTTCAACAAAGTGAGAACGTTATTACATCACACTTTTACAGTTGAAAAATTCAAAACTGATGGACAACCTATTCAATGCTTCAAATGTCAAGCATTTGGACATGCCAGCACGCATTGTAATCGCATCCCAAGATGTGTCAAATGTGGTGAATCCCATGACGCTAAAATCTGTACCAGTGAGTCCATCAACTGCACAAACTGCGGCCAAAACCATGTGGCCAGTTACAGGCAATGTCCAACTCGCACCAAATACATCGAAGCGTCCACAATGAGAAAGGGTAGAGTAAATCCTAACCTCCTGCCACCGACAAGCCAGCCACGGTCTACCAGCACGACATCGAAACCCAATACCAACCCTATCACGTACGCCGAGGCCACCCAGAGGAACTTAAACACCCTAAAGGAACTTAAAACCCCCACGATGAGAGATTCCTCGAGGACCAATGAGACTCCGTTCTCCTCTCCACTGGACTTCTTCCTTGACCCTTCATCGCAAAGAATTTTGGAACGGCGATCTCAACCCCCACCAAACCCTGAAGCCGCCTCCACAACGCACGAACAACACGAGATGATATCCTCCATCAATAACGACATAAGTACTATCAAGAAATGTACAGATGACGCGACGTTCGTCATCAGAGAGTTAATGCGGCTAAATATTTTTCAAATGTTAAATCAGCTAAAAGATATGGTCAGGCTTCTAAAATCCACAAAATCCCCCATTGATCGCCTCTCGATCATTGCTTCGTACTCGGACATTTTCTCTGATGAAGCATCATGATGACCTTAAAATCAATAAATATTATTGCTATTAACATTAACTCGCTGAAAACGAAGTTGCCTGAGTTATCTCTTATAATTTCAAACCATAATGTTAAAGTCATTTTAATTTCGGAAACCAAATTAACAACTAATGTTAAAAAGTTATTTTTACCAAACTTTAATTTTTATAGAGAGGACAGGGTGGGCAGGGCGGGTGGTGGGGTGGCCATAGCCGTTCACTCCTCCATCAAAACTATCCCTCTCCCACATGATATTAATTCCAAAACAGAATACATAGGGGTGAAAATCTTTGTTGATAACAAGGCTTTGCACCTGTATTCTATTTACAACCCGCCAGATACCAATTTAGATTCTGATTTGCTTAAATCCTTATTAATGCCAGGCCGCTCAACAATAGTGGCAGGGGACTTCAATGCCAAGGATCCTTCCTGGTCTCCTGGGGAACCAAACAATTCGGGTAAAATCCTCCTAAACCTTACTACTCCCTCAAACCTTATCCTTTTAGCGCCGAGTGAACCCACCCATTACCCTTACAATTCAAATAATCCATCAACAATTGACCTCACCATCACTAACGCACCTCATTTAATAAATAATTTCCAAGTCCTGCATGAGTCTCCATCCGACCACCTCCCTCTATTCTTCTCCATATATGGCTCTACCCAAACGGTCTCCCAAGACAAAAGATTTAACTTTAAAAAAACAAATTGGAAAAAATTTCGCAACTTCCTAAATGATGCCTTAACTTCAGCGAACCCCTTAGTTAAAAATAGCAAACAAATTGACGATAATATAAAGTCCTTTTCAGACGTGGTGATAGAGGCTTATCAACTAAATACCCCTACTTTTCCGTTGTATCGTAAAGCAACCCCTCTGCCAGATCATATAATCAAATTAATTCAACATAAAAACAAAGTGAGAAATTACTGGCAGAAGAACAAAAACAACCCCCGATTAAAATCATATCTCAACCAGCTAACCAAAGATGTACAGCTAAAAATTAATAGATGGAAACAGGATAGTTGGGACAATAAACTTAAAAACATCACTCCAAGGGACCACTCGATCTGGAGAATTGCGAAAAATTTCAATAACACCCCCAAATTTAATATTCCAAATTTCAATATCAAAAACAAAATAATATCGGAAGACACTGAAAAGGCCAACTCCCTTTGCTCTCACTATGCTAATATTCATCAGTTAGCCTCTGAGAGAGGAAATCCGTCCTTTAATCAACAAATTACGGCTTCAGTTAAAAATAAGATTTCTCTTAATCTTTCTACATCCTTGATACCTCTCACATCTCCCAGGGAGGTTGTTAAAATAGTAAGCAAACTAAAAAGTAAGTCAGCCCCAGGCATTGATCAAATTCCCAACATAGTTATTAAAAATCTCCCCAAGAAAGCAATAGTATTCATAACAAAAATTTATAATGCATGTCTTCTCCTCCACTATTTTCCTGACAGTTGGAAACGAGCGGTTGTAATCCCCATCCTTAAACCAGGCAAATCTCCCTTCCTACCCGTCAGCTACAGGCCTGTTAGCCTCCTCCCTAACCTTGGCAAAGTCCTTGAGAAAATCATCCTCTGGAGGCTCTCCAAATCTATCCACAACCTCCAAATCATCCCCCCAAACCAATTTGGCTTCAGAGCCCACCACTCCACCACCCATCAATTGGCTAGGCTAACTAACCACATCAAAACAGCCAGCTTAAATAAGGAATCAACCGCTGTTCTACTCCTCGACAGCGAAAAAGCATTTGATTCAGTGTGGCCGGAGGGACTGGTTCACAAACTCCTCTCTTATAACATAGAAGCTGCTTTAGCTACTTTAATCCTTTCATTTTTACAAAGTAGATTTATACAGGTTAGAGTGAACTCCTCCCTCTCGTCACCTCAAGCCATTTTAGCCGGAGTCCCTCAAGGCTCAATCCTGTCTCCAACACTTTTTAATGTTTATATAGCTTCAATTTTCAATCGCTGCCCTTCAAATGTAAATTTAGCTGGTTTTGCAGACGATTTAGCGATTTTCAGCTCTAGCCAATCCCTGGAAAAAGCAGTACATAGGTTAGAAAACGCCTCGTCCTTAATCATTAAAGAACTTAACATATGGAAAATCAACGTAAACGAAGCCAAAACGGAGGCGATTTTCTTTACTAGTAGCAAACAGTCAAAAATCTCAGTTAAAATTAAAAACACAGAAATTTCTCCAAAAAAATACATCAAATATCTAGGCCTGTGGATTGACTCCAAACTTCTCTGGAGCCACCACATAAATCATTTAAACTCGAAAGCCAAAGCTATCCTAGCACGTCTATTCTGGCTTTTTAAATCAAACTCCCTTAGTATTGAAATTAAATTAATTCTATTTAAAGTGCTTATCAGACCAGTAATCACGTATGGTTGCCCAATCTGGCATAACGCGGCCATTTCGCACATTTCCCAGCTCCAAATTACCCAAAACAAATTCCTTAGGTTAATCGGAAACTTCCCCATTAAAACCCGCATCCCCACCATTCACAATAACCTTAATATCAATTCAATACATCACTATATCCTTTCATTAACCGATAAGTTTAATCACAGCTTAAAAAACCACCCGAACAAGGAGCTACACAAAATCAATGTCGACCTAAGATCCAAATGGTCGAGATAAATCCCCTTTCCCCACCTCCCCTTTACTCCTCCTCCATCCCTACCACATCCCCTTACCAACCACCCCCAACTTATAGGGTTTTTTTTTTTTATGTGGCATTTTTCCCTATTTGTAAACCTCTCTCAACGCCATCTATACACATTAAGTAAAACAACAATTTCTTTTGTATCAAATCTTAGGTTTAATTTAGGTATAAAGCCTCAGGGCTGGTGGCCTAGTCATAGACTCAATAAGCTTATGTAATTACTGTACATAATTGTAAATTAAGATCAATAAACGTTTTATAATGTAATGTAATGCGTTGTCCTCGCGGTAACGTGCTCGGCTAGCACGCCGACGGCCCGGGTTCGATCCCGCCGTCATTCATTTTTTTTTTTTAATAATTCCAATTTTTTCTTTGGGTAGGTATTCACCGCAATTGAAAAATTCGAAATTTTTGAAAAAGTATCAGGGTAACATGAACATCGAGGAGCTCTTCACTGAAATTTTCACTGAAAGTGAAAAATTCGAAATTTTTGAAAAAGTATCAGGAGAACATAACAGTCGAGGAGCTATTCACTGAAATTTTCACTGAAAGTGAAAAATTCGAAATTTTTGTAAAAGTATCAGGGGAACATGACAATCGAGGAGCTCTTCACTGAAATTTTCACTGAAAGTGAAAAATTCGAAATTTTTG